ACCAGCCCCACCATAAAAAAAAAAAAAAAAAAAAAAAAAAAAAAAAAAAAAAAAAGGGAGAAAAAAAAAAAAAAAAAAAAAGGAAAAAAAAAAAAAAAAAAAAAAAAAAAAAAAAAAAAAAAAAAAAAAAAAAAAGAATAAAATAAAATAAAATAAAATAATAATAAAAAGGTCGGACACGGGATCTTTCATAGAAATTCGTCGCTCTGTCGAAATAATAAGTGACATCACCTTCTATCACAAATTTCTAGACACAAATGCTATGAAGAAAGAGGTTTATTATTGTTCCTCGAACCATTCGCATCGAGTTCTCGGATTTTCAGTCTTGCCGGAGCCACTTATTCGTCATGCTTTGTTGTGCATCTACCAAATACTTTATTGTTTATAATGGAATCCTGCAGTAGCATATGTACCAAAAGTGACGCCTGACGATCAATTTCATATCTAATATACAGCACATGAAGTATAAAATATAATTAAATAAAACTTTTCATTCTTAAATTTATTATTTTATTATGCATGTTTGATATCATGCGTTACTTTTGGTCGCATGTTGGACGAACATAAGGATTATATCATGAATTTTCATATCCGCAGTAAAATCTACTTCTAACCTCAAACAATGGAAAATTCGCCCAAATGGGGTTAAACTGGTGCGTTTGTATGGGAAGAGGATGGAAATGCCAATCCTTTACTCGAAATTTACAAATCTTTTATACTCTTATATCCATATATCCAAATATGATGCAAATTTGTAATATAAATAATTGATCCTTCCAATTAGTAAGTATGTTTATTTTATTGTGCGCATTATTTATTGTTGCATATAAAAAATGAGGGACTATTGGAATAATGTTGTTCGGCAATTATTCGGCCCTAAAATTTGCGATGTCGATCATAAATCGTTTTGCCCCTCTGTTCCTTTTTTGATTTGGTGGTGATACAAGTCCCGATCGTTGAGTATAAATTTTCATTTCACTCCTCACATTTCCTATTTACCTTTTAATTTTATTGTAAATATTCTATGTAAATATTTTCTCCGAGCAATAACTTTTCTTTTTCTCTTTTGCATATTTCCACTATTCATTCACAAATACTCACATCCTCAAGTGATTTGTAAGGTGTACTTTTTATTCGACAACGTTTGCGTCCGACTTGTTAACGTCGAAACCGAGAAATAAGACTTCGCATAATGAACAACGAGGGATTGCTTCAATTCGTCCAACATTATCAGATATCGTCTAATGTTCACAAGTACATCATCCAGACGTACGCGGACGGCCAAGAGAGTCTAAGGCGTCATCATGTGTCAGTTTGGGAAACATCGTCGAGGACGGAATTTTTTCTAATGGTCTTGTCCATTTTAATATGGTGTGCAATGATATTTATGATATCGTTAGGTTATATAATGGCGTGAGTACAAATAACAATTCCATGTATGCTATTCTGATTCAATATTTATCTAAAAAATCATATCTCTCATCAACGTTTAAAGACGTACGCGGTATAGATCTTCCAAGAGATCGAACTCGTCTCAATTGTCTGCCAGTCAAGTTCCCGGGGTATCAATCATAAGACCGCTCAAAGGTGTAGACTGTAATCTGTTGGAGAACCTTGCGTCTTCATTCAGACAAGATTACCCCAAATTTGAGATCATTTTTTCCGTTGCAAACGAAAATGATCCTGCAGTGAAGGTGGTGGAAAAATTGATAACAAAATTTCCCAATGTAGATGTCAGCTTAATCAAAGGTGAGCATTTTGTTGTGGACATCATTGGGAGCCCGAAAGATTACTTACTTGATCTAATTACGCACGATGCCAAAAAAAAAAATAAAAATAAAAATAAAAATTAGGTCAACGAGAGGTAGGCGTGAACCCCAAAATAAACAACTTGATTCGAGCATACGAATCTGTGAAATATGACATTATCTGGATTTTAGATTCAAATGTTTATGTAGACCCCGGGTGTCTCGGAAAATCGGTGGATAAGCTGACTCAACCTGGAGTCGGTCTTGTTCATCATCTTCCTTTTGCTGTCAAACCGGAAACTTTTGGTTCCGAGTTGGAAATGATGTTCATGGACACAGTTCACGCCAAAATGTACTTGGCTATCAATGCCATTGGTCCGGATAGTTGTGTGGTGGGCAAATCAAACCTGTATCGTAAAGGCGACCTCGAAAGTGTCGGAGGTATGGAACAATTCGGTAAATATATGGCGGAGGATAATCTCATCGCCAGAGCTCTGTGGAGGAAAGGGCTCAAACATGAGATGACCAGTGATTTGGCTTACCAGCCACTTGGTTCCATGGCAACTGCGGACTACTTCTTTCGTCGATCACGTTGGACTCGAATTCGAAAGTATACGGTCACCGCTGCCACGGTCATCGAACCTTTCACCGAATCGATAGTGTGCGGTCTGTGCGCATCTTATGGGTTCAATATGCTGTGGAACATTCATCCGCTTAACTTTTTGGCCTTCCACCTTATTCTTTGGTTTTGGATAGATCTAAAATTATTCCAAACTCTAAGCAAAAATACACTTAGCATAGAAAGTCTACGTGGTTTCATAATGGCTTGGGCTGTGCGTGAAATTACTGCGCTACCGTTATACATTTATTCGGTGCTTGGAAATAACGTTGATTGGCGTGACGATACTTTTCGTTTGATGCGGGACTCAACGGTGGAAAGGATACCCTCTTCGCAACAACAGCAACATCGTTCTCCCGGTAGCCTTTCTTTACCTTCCTTGGCTCGCAATATTACTGCAATAGCAAATTATAACACAGTTCATTCAACATCCAACATTAAAAGGACCGCATTCTACCAACAACAATTAGTCGTCTCCATCCTTACCTCCATAATATTAGTAATTGATATAATAATGGATATCCTATTTTCCAGTAACCGCAACGGGAATCCCGTTGAGAGTTCGGAAGTCGATGAACTGAAAGACTCCGAAAAAGAAAAAATGAAAAGACGTAAGAGTGATCGAGACATGGATATGGTGGATATCGATGAGGTACATATTAGTAATCAAGATGATCCAATTGTTCAAGCTGCTAGTCAATGCTTGAGGAATACTTTAAGAACAACGAGCTATTGTTATGGGGAACTTTATCATGAAGAGGTGGAAGATTCGGATACAAGAAATAAATTGGGTTCATCTAATGAAGAGGCTTTGTCGTTAGTGTCGAGGCGTAAATCAATATCGTCAAGTCCCCCTTCAGCCGACGATCAGGAGGTTTTCATTGGTATAAGGCGTCCTTCGATTCTAAATGAGATATACAGAAGTGTATCCATAGGTCTCTCGATGCACCTGCAAAACGAGAAGAACATTATCGAAGGACAAAAGCGCAGGCGTCGGCAAAGTATCTCGGTCAGCAATTCTAATAGCATGTCGACGCCATTTGGACCTCAAGAGAGATCAAGAAAAAGTGGCAGAAGTATGTCATTGGATAATATATGATTCGACTTTTTACCTATATAGAAAAATTTCTTGTATTTATGTTTGATTGATTTTTTTGTAACCTCCATGAAATTAATAAAATACTCTCCACCGCTATAGAATAATAACTTTAATCATGAAAAATCACCAGAATGATGTCGGTGCTGATAAACACAAATAAAATCCACCTATTTAACTCTATCTACAATATCTACGACTAAAAAAATTCAATTTAGCTGTCTGAATGTTAAACTGATTCTTCCTCCAGTTATTCTTCTTTCCTTTGGAATAGAATGCTTCCAATATTTTTGGGTTGTGCCTTTCATGACCACCAATGAACCGTTCTCTAGGGTAAATTTGTGGACGACCTTTCTGTCCAACTTGTTTCTAAAAACAAAAGTTCTGAGCGCGCCCAAACTTAAACAAGCAATAACGCCGTTTCGCTGCAGATCCCTTTCATCATCGGAGTGTTCGCCAATATAATCATCCCCATTTTTATACCAATTCAATAAGACGAAATTAAATTCGACATTCAAAATTGACTCCACCTTTTCCTTCAACAATTTGACCGAGGGATGATAATCTAAAGAAGCTATTTCAGCAGTGGTACCGGAGTAACGATATACCTTATCAGGATTCGAACCAAAGGAACAAGTGTGACGTGGAGCAACAGAGGAACGACCAAATATCTTAAAGGTCGGGCGAGACCAATAAGAAAGAAAACTCAGGTCAGAGTAAAATTGTGCACACTCTTTCAAGGATATGATGGAAGGATAGTACGAAACGTCTGCGTGAGGGATTTCAAGTTTATTAAAAAAATGACTTGGTATTATTGTTGATGTTTTTAATTTATTTTCTTTCGGATCGACCGAACAATATGAATCGAGTGAATTTTGTTGCAATTTGTTTGGAGTTCTACAAGCCGACAACCGCTTCGTTTCTTCAGGCGAGATCTTTTGGGACTTCCCTTTCTTTCTTGCATCCTGGACATTTGAGTTCTCGGATTCGTATGTCTCAGCGCAACGCTTCATAACTACGCGTTCAATTGTCGTGACGTGAGGTTACACGCTGACATGGATATAAATATTTATGGATTTTATTTGAAATATTCTTTGTTTAGTAAAGATACAATAATTTAACACGTCGCGCTATACGGTACCAGTATTTTATATATCACAAAACTCAAGTGAAGCGATATAAAAAAACCGGAATTTGTTTTGCTGCGTCGCAACTGTCACGTGAAATCACATCTTATTGAGCGAACTAATTCGATAATTCATATCTTTCTTTTTTTTTTTTTTTTAACCCGCAATCATGCCGATACAGCTTGTCTTTATTGAGATACTTGAAAAATACCAAAATAATCCGTAGACCCTTTTACGTATCGACTAACTCGTCTTTGTACATTATTAGTTGAAGGATTACACTACTTAAAAAATATGAGGAGTTCACTAAGCTAGTTCAGATTAAACAAAACTAAGTCTCAACTAGGTACTCTAAGTCAAATTTAGGGGACAATATTATGCTCTCCTAGTAACTTGACATAGTGCCTCTAAGTCAATCAGGATTATTGCCAACAGTTTGTCACTGTTGATTATCCTGAAAAACGATGAATTGCTAAAGTTAAATTGAGGAAGGAAAAAAATGAAAATCAATTTAAAGCTCTTCAAAAGATTCTTTTCTATTTCACAGCCTCTTCTCAAAAAGGATCTTGCCTGATTGGGATATTCTTTTTTGCTTCATTTGGATCTTGGAAAGAATCTTTTTTGTCACCATCTGTGGTATCGGATAAGTCTTTATTTAAGTGTATATCAGATTGGGATAGTTCAAGAGAAATTAAAAGATCCCAGCTTCCATTTTAGAAAGCCTTTTCACTACTTGAGGAATTTAAAGAAGGAATGGAATTTCTTTGTGTGGATCCACATCACTTTTTGATGTCATAACTGTTTCCTGGGGTCGAATATATGCAGTTGGAAGGGGACTTTTTCTAGAACTTTCTTTTCTATATTACTCCTGATATCATTGGAACACATGAGATGACCAGTAGGTGCTTGTTTACATTCAGCTACTAACGTGTTTTGTATTCACCAATCATATTTTGCAATAAATTGTGTCACTTAAAATTCAGGGTTAAATTAAGGTAGGCAAAATTTTCCAAAGAACCAAAAATTTTGGGTGACTATAAGAAGGAAGAGACAGTAAGCAAACACTTTGAAATATGGTTTGATGTTTACCACCTCCCACTACAAAAAACCTCTATAGACATGCTTCAAAATAAAAGGCTTTAAGTACTATACTATTGGTTTTTCTTCCTTGCAGAACTTTTTTGCTATAGGTAGAGAAGGTGTTCCTTGACTTTTCTAGGTCACAGGAAGCCAAGTTTTTGTTTGAAAATGAATATAAACAAGAGAGGAAGTTTGGGAGCATTTCTTAAAGTAAAACTTTAAGTTGGTTTAAGGATAGTGTTAAAACTTTATTAACAAAGAAATAAAAAATTTCTTGCAAATGTCTTTTTTGTATGTGGGTAGAGGATCAGCAGAAAAAATTTTTTAATTCAATAATTCATATCTTATATATACTGTATTATTATAAATAAAATATATTTTGATTGTAAGAAATCTATAATATAAAGAAAGTAAAATAATAATAGTAAATAAGCTTTTAAGTATTTATAAGTAAATACAGAAGTAAAAAAAAGACAAACAAAAATTTTGAAGTTTAAGTAAACAAAAGATTCTATTTAAAGATGCTAAAATAAAAATATACAATTGAATCAACAAAATATTAAATTAAATTATTTTCTGTTACATGTTTTAATTTTTCAACTTTAATTTTTTTGAAAAATAATTTTTTTTAAGGATATAGAAGATATACAATAGTATAAGTAATTCATAAAAGTATATACAGTATTTTAAGCTAAACAAAAAACAGTTTGTCTCAAGTAACCTACATCAATCTAGTCTAGTATATCAAAGTTTTATTAGTATATTATCTAAAAAGAATTGTGTTTTAGTATTACTGGATAAAAATCTAAAAAATTTTTATTATTACTATTTATTAAGAATTACTATTAAGGAAGATATTAGTACTTATGAATTACTGTATTCACCAGAATATCATATGTTGATATTTTTAAAAAAAGAAAAAGGAAACTTTTTTTTAGTGATCACAATGGATCGAATCAGATTGGATTTTAACTAGATTCAATTCAATCCAGTTTTTATAAATACGAATCAGATATAAATTTAATTTATTTTAAACTGATCTGATCTGATTCGAAACTATAATAGTTTAATCCAATCTAATTCAAATTTGAATTTGATTTGATTTGATCCAATTTAAATCTAATTTGAATTTGATGCAAAAACAATTTGAAACTGATTTGGTACATTTTAAATTTGTTTTAAAGTATGTTCAACTATAACTGCTTTGATTTAACTAAATTAAATTAAATATGTCTAAATTAATCTGATTTTATTTTAATAAAAAAAATTTTAACTAGTATATTTCCTTTCAGAAATATTTTTTAACTTTAAATTTAAAAATTTTT